AAAAATTTGTATGAACTCGGCCCGGCAGCCATCCTCTTTTCATGAATAGACCTAAAAAAATTTTCCATGTGAACGTTTCAAAAATTAGAGAAATGTAAAATTACTTCGTGTACTGTTTAGCCGACTTGGGGTCTATTTCCATTAGTTCCAACAGCTGCTCATGTGAAACGTCATCATTCTTATCTGGTACTAGGTATTTACGTATTTCTGCCAAAGCATAGGCAATTCGTGCGTAACATTCCGCAGGTGGTGCTATAGTACTGATTTCTACAAACAAACTCTTGTGCAAATGTGTAAATCGAGGATCTCCGGACTCACGCATCTCCTCCTCCTTTGCACGATCTCTTATGGAATTTCGGCCCTTTATAACAATTTTACATTGAGTTTCCTCCTGTAAGCGGCGAAGTGAATTACCCTTAGGTCCAAGAATTTTTCCAGTAAAGTTAAACTGTGTGAAAGTTTAAGTTGCGTATATTATTTGATTTTCTAGTTAAGATTAAAGTTTGTTGAAAAACGTATCACCTTAGGAAATTGTTTAACAGGCACGAAAACTTTCTGCGTAACTTTTATTGGCTTTTGTTGGTACACATCCGCATAAAACTCTCTGCCGGGCACTCGTCCAGTAGAATAAACACGTTCAAAGGCTAAAGTAATAATAATAATAATAAGTTTTGTTACGAAACAGCTTTGCTAAATTCACCTTCATCAATTAACAAAGCACACAAAGGAAACTCAGCACCAAGCCGTTCTCGCTCCTCGTTGAGGTCAGCTAGAAATTTTTGCGCAAAATTATTAATGCGAGGTGTCTCAGTTTCTTCGTCTTTAGGTGCACCGGTTGCTACATTTAAATGTTCGGCCATTTCTACTTTCAAGTATTATTTATTTAAGATTTTCTGATTTTACTCTGGAATCTGCTCTGTTAAATATGATAAAAGAAATGGCTGAATGCTTGCTGCGGAAGGATGTTTATGGAAAAAGAATGTAACCAATTTAAAATCAATGGAAGAGTGATGCCATATTGTGTTTCCTTCCACAGAGA